CCTCCTCCTCCTCCTCCTCCTCCTCCTCCCCCTCCTTCTCCTCCTCCTTCTGCTCCTCCATGTCCTCCTCCTCCCCCTTCTCTTCCTTCTCATCTCCCTCCTCCTCCTCCTCCACCTCCTCGTAGCCATTTTGGCTCAAGATGCTTTGTTCCACAGGGGAGCACGTGGATACCGCTAGTCCGCGGCCAGTGCCAGGGTGTTTCTGCCCGACAATTTCCTTTTTCACAACCTCTGCACCATCGGTGCCCAACATGTCCTGGCGCAACCGCGCCCCATGGCGAAGTGGGCGGCGCCGGCAGCCTGGCGTGCAGAGTGGCGCATGGGTGTGGCGACCTGATGACGATTCGCCGCCCAGCAAGAAGAAGCGTGGTGGCAAGAAGGGTGATGAGCAGGCAATGTGCAGCGTATGCCAGCACTGGGAGTACGTGCGCTACGGGAGCGAGTGCTGCCACAAGTGCGGCGGAGCATATCTGGGCGGTGATTATCTTGATGAATGTGGTGAACCACGTGAGTCTGCCCAGGCAGGTGCTGCGCCTGTGCCTCCTCATCTTCTGCGTGAGCTGGAGAAGTGGGCGGTGCACTACCCTGCGCTGGCGGCCATTGCGAAGGACGCTGCTGCACCGCCGCCACCTCGGGTCCCTGTGTACACCGATTGCGACCTGGACCGTATGGCAGCCCTGGAGCAGACGGCCCTGGCGAAGGAGGTCGAGCTGGCCACCAAGCAGGAGCGTCTTGCCGCCCAGGAGGTTCAGTGGCGGTTGAAGCGGTATAGCAAAGCCAAGGCTACGTTGGAGGAGATGCAGCAGCACCACGTTGAGGCGGAGCGCAACTTGGAGTTGGCGCGTCAGGCCGCGCGAGAGACCGATGCGAAGAAGAACCGCTTCAACATCAGCTAGTTCAAGGATGAGAAGCGCGCTGAAGTCGAGAGGCAGCGCCAGGCTGCTGCGGCTGCCGAGCGCGAGGCGCAGAACGGCTTCGGCGAGTCGTGCGCCCCCGCCGCTGCCCCTGCCGCGGGCGCAGGCGGCGGCGCGCGCTGGCAGGGCGGACGAGACGGAGCTGAGGTGGGCCGTGGGGATCATCAGGGCGCAGGTGCAGCGGCTGCCGCCCATCGCCCCCCCGAGCGGCTGCAGATGCCCCATCGATGACCTGCGCCACTGGTGCCAGAAGCACGGCCGCAGGTTTGAGTACTGGGAGGCCGTCAAGCAGATGGAGCAGAGCATCGCGGCCCCAATGGGCGATATCTCGGAGGTGGGCGAATCTTACTTTGGTGACCATCATCGTGATGAATTGGATCAGCTTCGCAAGCGGTCACTGGAGCAGGCCCTCACCGAGCCCGAGCGGAACCAAATGGAGACCATCCCGGTTAAGCAGGCAGCTCAGAAGGCCACGAAGCGATTCCGCTCAGTGCGAGAGGAAGGTGCTGCGAGTTTCGCCCGTGTACTCGAGCAGGTGCAAGAACGAGGCCCTATCGCACGCGATGCAGGAGGAGCTGCCGGTGGAGGAGCGGGCGCCGCGGCGTCATCCGCCTCGCGGGGGCCCAGCTCCTAGCAGGGCGTGTAGGCGTGTGAGCGGGCCGCCTTGTTGCTCAGTGCAGTTGTTTTTTTGTAACGCCACGTACTGGAATGAAGTGGCCCTGTCTTTTGCACACGATGTGAAGCAAACTTGCGACGGTTCTTTCCTCTGCGAGCATCGCCTTACGGAGGCGAAGGCGAAGCTTGCAAGAAGGAGCTGTAATCATATGAAGTGGCGGCCTCACTTTCAGGCTGCCGCCCCCGCCCCTGGAAGGGGGCGCCCATGGAGGGGTCGGAGCTGTGGTCTCTCGGGGGCTGAGTTTTCGTAGGTTTCTGGCTGGCGCTGGGTCTGTGAAGGACCTGGGCCAAGGCACCTGTTGGATGTTCTTGGAACATCGGACTAAGCAGTCCATAATTGCGATTGGAGTCGTATATATGGTTTTGGACTTGGGCGTCTGCGGCGAGAACGTTTCGAGGCTTCAGGAGATCATGGAGTTCGTGGGTGCCCTGGCGGCCCCTTGGGCGCTGACGGGAGATGGGAATTTCCTGATCGAAGATTTGGAAATGTCTGGATTCACTCGACTGGTACGTGCTCGCGCTGCAGCGCCTGTCGGGGTCGAGTTTACGTGTTCGCAGGGGAGGGGAACTCTTATTGATGATGTGGTGGCCTCTGATGATATTGCTGGGTTTTTGAAGGTTGGCAAGCATCCCCCCTCGCCTTTCAAGACACATGCGTGCTTGGGTGTGGATATAGATCATGAGGTGGTGGAGCAGATTCTCTGGGCACGTCGTGAGCCAGCTCCCTTCCCAGAATGCGAAGGACATGATCTTCCGTGGGAGGTGCTATTGGAACAGTGCTGCGATGAAGGCAAGGTCGAGGCCCCTGCATTTCTGAAAGAGAAGTTGTTGCCACAGGTTGCTGATCATTTGCCACCCTGCGCCTTCGGAGTACTATTCGTTATGGAGCCGAGCCACGGGGAGCATGCATGTTTCACGCGCGTGCGCAGTTGATCCAGCCCCACAGGGCATAGGTGAGCGAGCTGGGTACCCATGTTTCCCACGCGGCAGAGTTGGACGTCGCGGTTTTGCAGGCCAGTCATTTAGGCAACCAGCTCTTTGTTCTTGGGCGCACCTATCGCAGAGCCTGTGGGAATACCGATTGAGTTTGGCGAGGAAATCGAAGGTTGCTATTGATCGGGCTGCTGCGATAGTGATGCCTCTTGCTTTCAAAGTGGAAGAGCATGCGATTCCTGGAGACGTCCGTCCTGTTGCGTGGTGGCGGGCTCAGTTAGCCAGCTTGCCTCAGGATGTGCCAGGTCTCGATGCGATCACTGATGCATGCAGTAGTGCTCTGACTGAGGCGTGGACAGCTGCGCGCTCAGTGTCTAAGGCCAAGATGAAGGCTTGGCTGCTGCGCTGTCTTCCCAGAGAAACTAAGCGAGTTCACGCTTGGCTAAAGTGCGACCAGGGCGAGGATCTTGAATACCTCGTCACCCCCTCTGAGGTCCTGCAGCTCCCTGAGGACCTCGCGGCGCATCGGGAAAAGTATTGGAGGGGTTTTGGGGAAGCCAGCCCTGAGAAACGAGGGAGGTTGTCTGGAGTGTTGGATGAGCTTCGTGTGGTCGCGCTGGCGGCGGCGGAGGATCTGGAACCTGTTGGGTCGCTTGATGTGCATCGAGCGGCGCGGGTGTTCAAGACTGGTACGGCCGTTGGGGTTGATCACTGGGCCCCGCGTTCCCTGTTGCTGCTTCCTCCGTCCGCTGTTGGGGTCTATGCCGAGCTCCTCAGCCAGCGCGAGCGCTACATGGTGTGGCCCACCCAAACCATGCTTGGTATCATCTCCCTTCTCCCGAAGGCCAAGGACGCGGAGCGTCCTATTTGCAAGCGTGCCACTTTGTATCGAATCTATTGCAAGGCTCGAGGGAGAGAGAGTAGTTCCTGGACCACCGAGCGCGCCGCTTTCTGTGACACTGCCATTCGAGGGTCCTCTGCTTTGGTTGCTGCCCTGTTGCGTGAAGTGGGGCACGAGATTGCCTCGCATATGAGCGTGCAGTCTATCGGTTTGTATTGTGACCTCGCTAAGATCTTTGATGCGGTTGACCCTTGTCGCCTGGCTGGACTTGCTTTGAAAATCCGGTACCCTGTGCACCTCCTGTACCTGGGAATTGCTATGCATGAGGCCCCTCGCATCTTCGAGGTTGGGGGGTTTGTCTCTGACTGGAGTAGGGGTGCTTCCAGGTTGCGTCCAGTCTATGGCGTGGGCTAAGATTCTCTGGCTTACGCCGCGCCGCCGACCCCTTGGAGTGCCTTGTTCGGGTGCGTCGTTTTTTTTTGGGGGGGGGCGGGGCGGGCCCTGGGCAGTCCGGCTGCAGATGCAGGCTTTGTGGTGTACGTGTGCGTTTCGAAGGCTCTGGGGGGGCTTCTTGGGGGTTCCTTGGGGCGTCTTGGGGGCCTCTTGGAAGCCTCTGGCGGCCTCTTGGGGCACTCTTGGGGCCCCCTGGGGCTCCTGAGGGCGGAAAGGTAAATGTTTTGAATTTTGCGTGGCCCTCTTGGGCCCCTCTTGGTGCCGTCTTGGGGCCCTCTTGGGCCGTCTTGGGGACCTCTTGGGCCGTCTTGGGGCCATCTTGGGCCGTTTGGGGGCCGTCTTGTAGGCCTCTTGGGCCGTCTTGGGGCCGTCTTCGGGGCCTCTTGGGCCGTCTTGGAGCGTCGGGGAGCCGAAAAGGCGAAAAGACAAACAAACGCCGAAAAACAAACGGGAAAATCAACAATTTTAGCCTCTCGGGGCCCTCTTGGGAGGCTTGTTCGGGAGGTCTTGGGCCGTCTTCGAGGCCTCTTGGCCCGTCTTGGGGTCATCTTGGGCGTCTTGGAGCGCTGGTTCGGCGTCTCGGGGCCCTCGTGGGCCGTCTTGGAGGTCTCCCGGGGCCTCGTTGGCCCATCTGTGGGCCTTCTTGGGCCCAGAAGAGCCCGCGAGTCGCTCGTCGGGGGCCCACCCCCTTCCAAATCGACCGGGCCGGGCCCCCGAGGGAGGGGTTTGGGGAGGGGGGGGCATCTCGCGCGCCGATGATCCCCAAGGGGTCGGCGGATTTATTTGTGCGACGTGCTGGATTCTGCGCGTGCCAACTTTTTCCCTGTCCGCGCGAGGACTTACGTGGACGACATCACCCAAACTCAGCAAGGTTCGGTGGATGATATTGTCAATGCCATTGTTCCTGCAGCCGTGTGGCTACATCATCAGCTTGAAGCAGCTGGCACAGTGATTTCTGGCAAGAGTTCCATGGTGTGTTCCAGTGTTGCCTTGGGGCGAGCTGTCACTACTCGGTTGGATAGTGCTGGCGTCAGACTTCGGCGTCGGCGTGCTGTGCGCGATCTGGGGGTCATGACCACGGCTGGGAAGAGGCGCTGCGCGCGTAAGGTCCAGGAGCGGCAGCGTAAGGCTCGCAAGAAGGCCCAGAAGGTTTCGCGCCCCACGAAGCTGGTTAGTCGAGCCATTTGTACAAGCCCGCTGTGTTGGTGTCGGGTCCTGGGGCCATGAAGTTCTAGGGCTCGTGCCTAGTCAGGTTCAAAGCATGAGGGCCCAGGCTGCCATGTGCTCTTGGTGGTGGTCTTCTGGGGCTTGTACCGCCTCGGTCTTGGGACTCCTGGGTACTGCCAAGGATGACCCCCAGTTTAGGCTGCGGTATGAGCAGGTATTCAGCTTTGCTTGTGTTTGGAAGCACCTGGACCACTCCCAGAGGATGGTGATCAGTAAAACTTGGGAACGCATTAGGGAGAAATTCGGTTGTGCCCGACATCGATGGAGAATTATTCGGGGACCTATTGCCGCTACCTTCGCTGTCTTACCTGTTTTCAGTTGGGAGCCCATTTCTCCCGTTTTCTGGCGCGCAGGTGACGATGAGTTCCCCTCGGCCCCGTGGGAGCAGTTGCAGGACACATGTTCGGCGTTGTCTTGGCAACAGGCCGCTCGCCATTATATGGGAACTGGGCTGGAAGGAGGGGCTGACTTTACGGTGGCGAAGAGGGTCTTGGCTAAGCTTCAGAAGGACGGGGGGGGGGTGGAGGCAGCAGGGATCTTGAGGAATGTGATTGCTGCTGGGTACTGGACTGAGGCCAGATCGAGAGATGCTGGCTACCTGTCTGTCTCTAGGGGCTTGTGCCCCAGGTGCGGCGCCTCAGTCGAGACGCCCGCCCATCGCTTTTGGGAGTGCGAGCGCAATCAGGACATCCCCGATCAGGTTGTGGAGCGCACCGATCGCCTGGCGGAGTTGGTGAGATCGGAGCCTGAAAAAGCGTGTCTGTGGTTTCGGGGTCTCCCTTCCCTCGGGGCCTCATGTGGCCATTTACCTGCTCCCCAGGAGCGGGTGTGGGAGTGGGGCCGTCTGGCTGGGGGCTATAAAATCCACGGTGAGTCTGGGGTGGGGGATCGATGGACCGGGGGGTCAGTATACTAAGGATTGGAGGCTCCGCCGATGTGCGTGGAGTTGTGTGCACTTGGGTCCTGATGGACTTCATGGTGGTGTAGTTTGCGGCTCGCTCCCGACGAGGCGTCAGTCGCCCCCTCGGGCCGAACTTTATGCACTTATCCAGTTGGCGTTGAGCAGTCCTGGGGATTGTCGCGTGCATTGTGATTGTTTAGCCGTGGTGAAAAGGGGCTCGGCAGCCTCTGGAGGTCAAGCAGCGCTCGAGTATGCAGGACTTGTGGGCCCGATGTCATGCTGTCTTGCGAAATCGCTGTGGAAGTCTCAATGTGCTGTGGACCAAAAGACATGCCACCGGCGCCCAACGCCGAAACATGTTGCTCTCTGACGCTGAGCTGCATTTGAATCGTGCCGCGGATCGTTTTGCGGAAGCTGCAGCGTCTAGGGTCCAGGTTTC